GAACGGTTACTAAAGGACGTTTTTTCTTTTGTTCTTCTTTGTTCTTTTAGTATTTATGCTTTGTTCTTGTCTTTCTAGGTGATGCTATCAAGTAATTCCTGGAAAAGCTTTCAACAATTTTCAGCAATCAACGTTTACGAGGTTCTAGAAGTTATGTTGAGGTCCAGGGCGGATACAACTACTAAGCTTGCATTCGTGTTGTCAGAAAGCTTTTGGACTGGTCTAAAAGTACACATTTCAACATGCAGTTACCTTTTCCTCTTAGTGTTGTTTCTCCATATCTATTTGAAATTCAGCGGTCTTGCGCTTCTAGTTCCTCACTAATTTTAGCCCATGCGGCCCTTAAATGGTTACATTCTTTTGTCCCTAGTTTGGATCGTAATCCTTTAGATAGTGAATTTTTCAGGAATATCGTCGAAGCTGCTAAACGCCAGAAGTCACAGCCAGTTATGAAAAAGAAGCCTATTACCACAGACATCATAAGGAGTATTTTAGATATTCATAACAAGAAACATATCTTCGTATCGCTGCGTTATGCTCTTTAGCTTTCGCAGGATTTTTTCGTTATGATGAATTATGCAATATTGCTCCTAAGCATATTGAATTTCACAGCGATTATCTACGAATCTTCGTGCCTCGTAGTAAGGCAGATGTTTACAGGGAAGGTAATTTCGTGTTTATTAGTGTATCCAGTTCTAAGTGCTGTCCTATTAGTCTTTTACAACGTTACGTAGATTTATCTGGTATTGACTTCAGTAGTCCCCTCTCTTTATTTAGACCCCTTGTTTTTCACCGCAGTAGTTCTATCTATACCCAGAGAAGCGGAAAGACTTCTTATACTACTTGTAGAGATATCTTAAGGAAAACCTTAAGTCAGTTGGGCTACAACCCTAATGATTATGGTCTTCATAGTTTAAGATGGGGTGGTATTACATCTGCGGTACGTAATAGTGGGAACTCGATTCCAGAGAGACTTCTTAAAATACATGGTAGGTGGAAATCTGATTCTGCCAAGGATATGTATGTTGAAGAAAGCCTTGAAAACAGGTTACATCTAACCAAGTATTTAGGTTTATAACATATTGTCGAGCGTATATTAGTTTCTGCATACAGTAGTATCTAAAGAATTGTAAAAAAAAAGGAAAAAAATAAGTAAATAAATTAAATGAATAATAATAATAATAACTTTCTAATTTCTATCTTATAATACTGTATTTTGGATCCGCTTGCGCATCCTACCAAAAGTGAAGTCAATTTACCGATGAAATTTCTATTTTCATAAACATGAATGTAAAAACGCTTGTGTCTACAAGTGGTATTTTGTCGAAAGTGGAAGTTGTGAATTTCACAATTTTCTCTACAATGAGTACGTTGTATTTTTAAAATTCTTTTAATTGCTACAATATAAGCATTTTCACTCAGTGGTGCTATTTAACAATTATTCGCCAAAGGCGAGGTGAATATCGTGAATAATCCCCAAGACGAAGTCGAGGGGATGATTCGACAATATTCACCAAACCTCAGGCGATTAATTGTTTTAGTATAATTTCAGAGCTGAGCAACAGAGAAATTTCTAAAATCATAACATTTTAGTAACATTTATTAACATTTTATTTTAACATTTTATATAAGCCGCGTGGAGCGGTTTATATAGCGTCATATAAGGAACCGCTCGACCAATCAGATTGCTGGAAACTCTTTGCTCAGCTCTGAAATTATACTAAACTAAAGTATTGGATAGAGCTGAAGTCGCGCTGTGATTGTTCAAAATCCCAAAAATCCTTGCTACTGACTTCCGAGTTACTCGTGCGGGATTTGCACCTGAAAAAAAATTGTAATCGTTGCTGGAATAAATGAGCTAAATCACTTTTTTGCGCCATCACAGCTGGGTAAAGATCCATCACCACCTCCACCTCTTTGAATAGATGGTAATTATCTATTGAAATCTTTATTGTGTGTATTTTAAGAACGCATTCTGTCCCTGCTTTGCCAACTAGCTAAAAGTTACAAGTGACAGGAGAGGCGCTCACTTCTTTTGCAAATTAGTTAAAAACTGTTTACAATGCACTCCAAGTACTTTTAGAAAAAAAAACTGCTTGTTCTTATTTGCTATTGAACTTTCAATAGATTTCACTAATTGAAAAGTCATCCCGATAAACGCGTAAGAAAGCTTTGAATAAATATTTTCTGTTGACAGGGTTTTCCTTGCATCTTGTTTAAAATGAGTACTCTTGTTTTTTGATTCTTATTTAATACATGAAGAAAAATAAAGTTCTCCCAAGTTTGTAACGTGCAAACGAGAAAGAGATTTGTTTCTAATATTTTAAATCCATATCTTATCGGGAATCGTGAAAGTATGAATCAATTTGAAACCACTTTTAACTTAAAAGATAACAAACATAAATGACAAAAGGCTTGTTTATTCATAAAACGATTGCGTAAAAAGGTATTTTCCACTTAGTTTCTAGAATATCACACTAAAATACAAGGACACAACGTTAACGTAGTAGGGTTAAATGGTAATAGAATGATTATCTGGTGAAGGAATGATATCTCCCAGGAGTTACCCTATCCCTAACCCTGACCCAGGATCCGATGGTTTTATGACTAGGTGAATCATGTTTGCTAAATTTTCTACGCAAATGTACGTTCTTCCCTCACTAAAACAATAGAAATCTTTATAAAACAGTAAATATGAATTGTAAACGATTTTAACAAATGTATTCAAGTTTGGCATTGAGCTAAGTAAGTTTTTTCAGCTTTGATTTGTTCTTATTTAATCTTTATATATTTCGCACCCATAAGCAAGACTTGTGTACAGTTTCTCTTAAAGAGGCCACGAGATGATACTCTTCATTTTGCTGAATCTGCTGGCATTTTCGTTCGCTCAAGGTATCTTTAAAAATGAATCAGACGCAATAAGCACAAATTTGTTTCTTGTATTCTTCGTCTAACTTTTATGTTGCTATGCTTGATTACTCGATATAAAGATTGTAGTTTTGAGCAAGGAATATGTGGTTGGAAAAAAGATCCCTCAGGCTCTCTGAAATGGCTTCTCCGTCGAGGAAACACTCCCCAAGGGAAAGGTGGGTCTCAAACATTTTGAAGTTTTCTTATTTAATGACCAAACCATCTAATAAGTATATAATCTTACTTTCCCGGTGCTTGTATTGCTGATTGTGAGATCGCACCAGGATGGAAGAAAAGGTTGAAAGCGAGAAGATGGGCAACCATTATCTTTTCTCTCTCGGGTTCATTGCCATCTACTTTCAATGCCATCTCCAAACGTAACTGAGTTTTCATGGCAATTTTTCCTTCTCCAACCCAGCTCTAACTACCCTTTTTCTTTATTTTCAATTTTCCTCATACGCAGCTATTTCGATTCTCACCTTTATTAAAGATCACGAATGTGGAACCCCTTTTGAAATATGGATATTCGAAAAGAAAAAAAAGAACAGAAATACGTTTTTAGAATTTAATTTCTCTTACTTGCGCGTCAGCAAACAAGCGTGATAAGAAATTCTTTCCAGCCGTGTCCATAGAGTGAAATGGTTCAAGTTGAATTTATCCTGCGCAAATATCTCTACCGAAATCATTATTATTTTCAATACAGGTAACTTTATGTTTCTGGAAAAAGGCAAGAAAAATTCTTATGCTGGTCTCCTTTTCGAGACATCAATCATGAATAAATGTCTGTCATTCTGGTATAAAATGAAGGGAGGAAAAGCTGGAGGAATTAAATTGTATGTGGACGATCGCCTCTTTGAAGATCTGAAAGCCACCAAAGATGGTAAATGGCACAAAGCAACATTTACCATCAATAAAGCAAACAAAAAGGTACGCTGTAGTTTGTAGTCCGTAATTTTTCTTTACTTTTCCTTTTAAAAAATAGAATAAGAAAAATTTAGCGGTTGTATGACTGACTAAGAAATCCATCGGAATATTGTCAACTGGTTGTTTATTGTTAGAGCTCTTAAGGAAAAATTTAATGATTAGAGATATATATCAATTTGTTGTTTCAAATTCTTGTTCGTGTTCTCCGTCCATCACTGACTTCGGTTTCCTTTTTATGATCCATTCCTCTCATATTCAATACTGTAACTTGTATGTGTGTTTGTTTGTTTTATGTTGGATTTTAAAAGATCGTGTTGAAAGGCGTGAGGGCAAGAAAGAAAGATTTCGTAGCCATCGATGACATCATGTTTTCGGATAGCTGTGGACCGACACCTCCACCGCCAAGCGGTCAACCTTCTCCCCCACCACCTGGAACGTCCCCGCCAGGTAAAGAAAAAGTATTATTTTATCAAAATATGAATTCGATTGTTACAGCTAGCTAAACATTAACAAATTCATTCATAACTTATTACGAAACCGACTTCGATAGGTATCCAATTTCACCGGTATTGTGCTGTTTTTGCTTCGTTTGGTTTGGTTTTGTTTTTGTTTGTTTGTTTGTTTGTTTTTTTCAGCCTCGTTTTCTCGCTTATGTAATGTTATTTTAACGTCTCGGTGGACGTTGAATGGAAGTAAAAAAAGTTGCTGCGTACTGGTTTTTGACTGGATGATAAGCGGTATTGAACAACAAACCAGTGTATTTTAAATTTCTGCCCCAGCTTCCCTCCCTCAGATTGATCCCACTTCCGTCCTCTCCCATCCCCTGTTCTCCCGGGCTTCTGCCCTCATGAAATCATTGGCAATCAGCAAAGTCATTCTTCTTGCGCCTCTACCACAGGCGAATGCGGTAAAGGTCCCAATGCAAGGATTGTTGGAGGCCAGGAAGCAAACCCGGGTGATTGGCCTTGGCAAGCCCTTCTCCAAACCCCGCGCGGTAGTCAGTTTTGCGGTGGAACCTTGATTCATCCACAATGGGTGCTGTCTGCAGCTCATTGTGTGGAGCGATCAAAGCCTCAAGATATCGTTATTCGGTGAGCAACTCATATTTCCCAGGGTTCATATATATCTTACAAGCTTTTTTCATACTTTTGGTGTACAGTATACAGAGCTCAAAAGAATTTTGTGGGAACTACGCTCTCTTCCCACCCCCCACCCACCACCCCCGCTTTAAAAAAAAGAGAGAGACGTACACCCATTCACTAACAGACGGACACTGGTCACGTCCAAATATTCACATCAATCTTTTCATTAACGGTGAACATCCCTTTCACAACAATAACCCCACTTTCGACACTTTCGTATTGTAAGTAACGTTTGTTTTCAAGTGCAGTCTTTGTAAAGATAATATTGGTTTTAAAAGTTTCCTTTTTTAACAGGATGGGTGCACATTATCGAGTGGAAAAATCTTCCACATCTAAAAATGAACAGAAGTTCAAGGTTACTAAAATCATTACGTACGAATCTTACAACAAGCCGTTGCAACTTAGTCATGACGTTGCCTTATTGAAGCTCGAGAGTTCCGCCACCCTTAACGAGTAAGTAGAGCACGGATATATTAATTTCTAGTTACTAATCTGTCTGTTTGTCTTGAGTTCCTTTCTAAAAAGTGGCCCCTGGCTCGTTATTCCTTTTTAAAGTGCGGTGTTTTACAAAGATTACCGGCCCTAAGAAAAGCCATGTATTCAATATCGCCAATCATGCAGTTGACACGTCACCCGCCTTACTTTCGCGCCACTCTGCAGTCAGGTTGATGGATGAATGGCAAAGCGTTCACTATTCTCAATCCAATGTTGTTTGTCGAAATTTTTCTTGTGCAAATTTTACAACGTTTTTGGTTATTTCTTTTACACCTATTCGAGGGAACGGTCATTGCTCCCAACGGGGAGGGGAGTGGGTGGTGTGTGGAGGAATATGGGAGGGTCACATGGTTTTTGGGTAAAGCGGAGGAGGGATCAGTCGTCGCTAGCAAAGTATAAAGGTGGGTCCTTAAGTAAGAGCTTCACTGCCAATGAGGGGAGGGGGGTCAATCGGAACACTAAGAGAGTCTTATAAGGTATCAGGAGAGTCACAGGTTTGTCAGCTATACAGCTGTTACGTGTCCCCCTCTATAAATAAAGTCCTTACTTACTTACTTACTTACTTACTTACTTACTTACTTACTTACTAGGAATCAGATGAATTTATTGTGACACAACCAAAATCCTCTGCCCCCACCCGCTCCTCGGTTCCTAATTTGATATTTATTTATTCTTAAGTTTCACCAATCTCGCCTGCCTACCTTCAACTAATCCAACTACTGGGTCATTCTGCGCCATCACCGGTTGGGGCACTTTGAAACAAAATGGAGGGCAACCCGCAAAGCTTCAAGTAGTTCGCGTTCCCATAATTCAACAAGAAACCTGTCAAAGATATTATCCAAAGGCAATACACGGGTCTATGGTGTGTGCAGGATTTTCAGAGGGAGGCAAGGACTCCTGCCAAGGAGACAGTGGCGGTCCAATGGTCTGCAAGGGTACCGATGGCAGGTATAGTTTACATGGCGTTACCAGCTGGGGCTCTGGCTGCGCACAGCCGAGAAAGCCTGGTGTTTATGCTAGGGTTTCGTTCCTCCTCAAATGGATTAAGGACAATATTAATAATAACTGAGGATCGAAAAGGGAAATAACACATAAATGATTTCCAATAATCTAATGTAGTAGATTATAAGCCTCATTACTTACTTCTGTTTATGAATGAAGAGGAAAATGCTCAAAAGGCCAGCATATGGATATCAAAGGGCTAATACTATTAGAGTAGAATGCTATAACCTCCATAGTCCTTTGTGAGGCAATAGAAAGTAACAGCTGAAAGTTTTGAGACTTATGTAAGGTGTTAAAAGTGAATCAGTTAATCAATTAAAGCATTGAAAATGATTCTTGTTATTCACTTGACTCTCGTATTTAAGAAAAAACCTTGCAGTAGCCCGGAACATTCCTATCCTGGACCTCTTCTGTGGTGTGAGCCCAGCATGAGGACTGACTAATCGACTCTTGCGCAATAGGAAATAGGACGTAAATGTTGTTGACGATGAAACTGTTCATAATAAGCGGACACAGAGACGGCGACCGGAAGTAAAATGCATTTACTTCCGGTGCCCTTTGGTTTACACCATCAACTGCAAATCACTTTCTTGTATATGAATGAAAGAGAGTTTTAGACCAAACAAAGCTGACACAATATCTGTAGTACCAAAGAGTCTTGAATCAGAATCTTAAGCTTCCAGCCACCGTACGCGTCTCAAACTCATTTATATTCAAGTTTCCAGTTGAAACATAAAAATGATAGCAGTTAAATATTTATATTGCGCAAATTAACGTTTGTATATGATCAAATGCGCATCACAACACTTTTTGGAGGACTTTGGCTGGACTGCATCAGCAGTTTACAATCAATCGAAGGAATCTTATTCGAAGATACCCCCCGCCCCCCCACCCCCAATTCCCAATAAACAGGCCAGACCACATCACAGTAATCTCCTGAGTGGGTTCTTTAACGTCCCCTGCCTAACCAAATTAACTAATTAATAGATGCAGCAGGAGACGCGACCTATGGTTTATTCGTCCTTATCTAAGAAGACTAGAATATCCATTTCTTGATATGATAGAAAGGTAGCAAATTCTCCTCAGTTATTTTAAGACCTTGAGGGTTGGTCCGGCCGAGGCTCGAACCCTCGACTTCCCACACGACAGTCCGGCGCTCTAACCAATTAACCAATTGAACTCTAAGCTAGGGTACTGTAGTATTCAGTACAAGGTCAGAGACCGAATTTATCAGTTCTTTGCTTTCAACAGAGTTTCAATACTCGCAGAAAATGTATTGAGGACGTTCTCGGTTTCCAGACTTTTTTTCCTGTTTAGCTACAGGATTGGAAAAGGAAAAGTTTCTAACTGTAGAATATTTTTTGTGGTTTCCCGTGCGCGCCAGTCTATCGTGTCCTATTTAAGCTAAAACAAGCTTTCCGAATTTTTCAAAACTTAGTCAGTGGTCATATGATCACAGGGCTCCTGATGATGATGATTATTGACCAATGGTAAAGAAGGATTTGTTCAAGTACTACTCGTTTTCCCGCCCTTTTGTGGTTTTCTTGCTGAGGATCGCGGGCTTCGGTACTCTTTTTTCCTATAGCGGCCACCTTGGTTTTGTTATGTTTTGAGCTCGAAATAGATTATTTAATTTGACGACCTATTCCTGGTTTTTCAATTTTTCTGGTATCGAGAACAGCTAAGTAAGTAATGTCGGGAAAATAAATGGCTCTCGTTCGTGACGAAGCCAAATATCTTCCCATCCGGCCCTCCCACTAAGTGGACAAATACATGTTGCGGCGGTTTCAAGCTGCGGTTAAAAAAAGAAAGAAAACCTTGCTTTCATCTGACTTTTTCGCCTCACTTTTCCTCCGTCCCTATTGTTTAGCTAGGGAACATTTCGCGGCTGAGGTGATCCCACTATTAATAAATTAGTATATTGTCAATACTTACAACCAGTAACTGAGAAAAAAACTACTTTATTAATGGTGTGTAAACTGTTTGAACAGGCATTATATCTTTGATAAAGCTTTTTTATGATTGATGAACATTCTCACCATTGGATTATATTCGTACGAGAAAACTTTTACTGTTCTCACTATGGTTGCAGCAAGAGAACGCTTACAAAACTGTTCTACGGGTTTTTTTTTTTTCCATTTCTGACGGGTATATATTCTCAAATGAGAAAGCCTTTCACTACGGTTGTTAGAAAGAACAATACTATTTTTAAAAGTATGCAAAATGCGTTTTTTATCGGTATTCTATTTCTTAGGAACACCATCACAGCTAATTCTCATCAAACGTTTTAAGCACCCAGGAGTTGCACTCATGCTTCCGCCTCGTCTTCAAGTTCTGCTTCTTGTAAAGCTTCTTTACTGACCGTCTTCTTCTCCTCCTGTTTTGGCTTGGTACCAGGCCTATTCCCGAGCTTCTCTACTTTTACAATCACGGGTTGAGCCTATTGGTAAAAAATTCAAGTGAGAATGAGACAGAGAGGAACTAAAATAAAAATCTGGTTTTACCAACTAAACAAGTATGAATCAAATTATTCTAACTTTATCAGGGACAATAATAACTGAGATAAATTTACTGAACGTTTTGTAGCCGGGAAGTGGGCTTTCATCAGCACCACGGCCAAAGCCGTGAACCTAGCTCGTAAGATTCGAGCGGGAAGCCAAGCGAGCTCGAAAGGTCTTATTTTCGTGCTAGAGCCCACGAGGCTACTCTCCTTCGCTTAAATTGTTTGGCAGTTCGAAAGGCTCTTATCGCGGCGTCAAGGAGGGCCTACACGCGGACTAAACATGTTACCGAATGTGATTATGCAAGCATTAAAATATGGTAAAAAAATTCTACTCAGCCCCTTTCTGTATAAGTGTCTTATCACAAATTTGATCGAGGTAACGATGCTTCAAGTGGAAGAGTCATACAAAATAAAAATCTGAAGTCTACTTTCTTGTTCATTTCTACCACACTGAACAAAAAATTCCAAAATGCCTTAATCTGCTAGTTCACACATACATTCTCCTGAAATACTTTCATCCTCTACCATCTCTTGCTTCAGGGATGTATGTTCCAGTCACAATTTTTTCGGTGCCGATCAAATGTCGGATACTTACTGCTGCTTTCTCCTGTTCCTGCTCATTTTGCAGCTCCTCCTTTAGTTTCTTTTCTTCTTTCTTCGTTACTTCCTTACTCAGCGGCATTTTGCTCTTTTCATTGATTACCTGCGCTGTCACCTTGGGGATCTTGTTCACCGTAACGACTATTTCTTTTGGCGTGGATATTGTGGGCTTTTCTGTTACTGGCTCCTTACCTTCCTTGTCGTCAACATTCTTCGCATTTTGAGCCAACTCGGCAAGCTCCATTTCTTCATCAGACAACACTCGTTTGGAGTCCTCTTCCTCTGAAGCCGTCTCGTCCTCAAATATGTCTCTCTCTTTGTATGCTTCATCTCGTTTTACTTCAATGGTTTGTCTTCCTTTATCTTTTTCAACTTTTTGCACCGTGGCTATTCCAGTAGTCTCGCTGGGTGTTGTCGGTTTTGCAGATTGAGCTGTTATGGGTTTTTCTTCTTCGCGATTCCTTTCGGCTTTGAGCGCTTTATCCAAATCATGTGCGACCTTCTGTTCATCTGTTTGTCCCTTCTCCGACTTCCTTTCTTCCTTATCTTGTCCTCCTTCCAACTCGAGTTCGATCTCCTCGTCAGTCTTCTGAGATTCATCATTAGATCATCTCTCGTCCATTACAGCGGCGTGTTTTTCTTTGTTCTCGCTGCTGTTTAAATCTTCCTCTTCTGTTTCTTCAAGTGTCTCTTCCTTTACCACGGGAATCTCAGACTTTTTCACCGCACTCTCTGTGATCTTTCCTTTATGGGGTTCATCTCTGACCATTGATTTAACAAAAGGCTTCTCAGCCACCTTCTTTACACTAACCTCTGACTTTGTTTGATCGGTTAGGGATCCAGTCTTTTGCACCATTATGGTTGTTTTTTTCTCGCTTGGTGATTCTTTTGCAGAGAGTTTTTCCACTTTTATCGTTATTTCTTTTTCACCATCTGTCAACGTTTGTACCTTGTCCTCTTTCAAGTCTTCATCTTCCTCATCTTCTTGCTCGACTGGACTTCGTTTAGCCTCGACTGCTCCTCTTGATGGGACACGTTCCACTTTGACGACCGTAGCCTTTTGTGTATTTTTAGATGGCGTGGAACTTGACGATATCTTTTCAACCTCGATCGTGGCTTTTTCGACCTTGGTGGAAAGTTTTGCTGAGTTTTTTTCCGTGCTGACTTTTTCTACCGTAATCGAGCCTCCGGTCTGTCTTTCACTTTCAAGATCTGCCTCTTCTTCGTCCACTTCATCATTTGCCATTGATTTGCCGCTTAACTTTTTTGTTTTTTCTGTTATCTTCTTCACCACAAAATCTTTCCCCGGCGTTTTTCTGTCTTCTCCCTCAAGAGCCGCCTCTTCCTCCTCCATCTTATCGTTTGTCACCGCTTTGACTTCAATTTTCTTGGTATCTTCAAATTTTTCTTTCTTCTTGTCATTTTCTTCCTCGAGCTCTTCTTCTTCGCCGACAGGAGCAACTTTTTTCCCCTCGTTGGAAATCTTGTTGACAGAAATTACCGTAACTTCTTTATTTGAATGCTTCACTTCTTCCTCAGTCTTCAACGGCCTGGAAGGTTTCACAGTCTCAGCTTCAAATTTTGTTATCAATGGCGTTGGCGTTTTGGTTTCTGGTTCACGTTCCCTTGCTGTCGGTATTGTTGTCGGTGATGCTGACGTTTTCGAAGCCTCTTCTGCTTCAGTTTTCCTTTCAGAGGTCCTCTCGTTGGATGGCGTAGGAGAAGCCTCTGGAGAGAAGACAACATTGATAATTTTGTACGCCAACCCACGTTAGCTGATATTTAGAAACAAGATTTAGACGCTTCGATGAGGGATTCAGATATCAAATGAGTTGGGAATCAAACATCGATGGGTATTCG